TTGATTTATTCAATAATTACTTTATATGTAATAGAAAAAACTGGTTCAAAACTTTTCGACTCAGTTTCACTTCTTCTACCTGTCTACAAAAGATTTTAAAGAAATTATCGGACATTCTGTATAACATGAGAAGTATCTTTTCTACAACTGTGTTTTAAAAGTTTTATTCAGTAGATCAGTCTTGTTCTTCTTTCGCATAATTGTTCACAGTACATTAGAATTAATTTTTGTAAAATTGTATTTCATCCTATAAAAATGTGATTGTATGTATACACATTTATTCTTTGGTACTATACTAAAAGATATAAAATACACATTTTTATTTACCCTTCAAAAGCCTTTGTTATCTCGGCGAATTTGGACTTATTACAGATGATGGCAGTTTTGACGCGTTTCGGATCAAACAACGATTTAACATACGAAGCTGCCACGCGGCTCATATCGTCCATAGTAACGGCAGAAATACGTCGCACCATAAGAGAATTATAATCAGGCGGCAAGTTTCTGCAGTAGCGCTCGAATGATGTGTATGTTATGTCGATCATGGATTTTTCCTCGTTGACATATTTTAAGATAGCTAACGATTTAGCTGAGTTGTAAAGATGTTGGTCCCATTTCGTTTTCGTATTATGCGTCTCCTAAAACAAAAGTATCAATATTACAGAGACGATCTAAACTCGCGCTGTTTTTGACGAATTATATATACATTCTGACAATTCAGTTATAATTTCAAAAACAAAAAAAGACTAAAGTCATACCACTATCGACTTCGTCTTCTTGTACGCAGCTATTATGTCTGTAGCTGTAGAAAGCTGTAAATTTAAGAGTCCTTTGATCGGATTCGCAAAAATATTAAAGTCACAAGACCATTCTTTTGCTTTCATTACTTTCCATAAAGGTCCCTGAAAAAAAACATGCATGCTTGAAACATATGACGAACATTACGCAGTTTGTATCAAACAATCAGTTTTTTTTTATCACCAATCATTACGTGCTTACTTCCATTTGTGAGAAATACTGTAAACAGACAAGTAAAGCTGCCAAATCAGGATCGTGAAAATCATTTATACACGGACAAACTTGCATAAAGGAGGACAATTGTACATTTTCTGATGAATGAATATAACCGTTCTCAGTTATGTCATTAAAAGGTTTAAGTAATTTCCATTCACTGGTGACATTAGGCCTGAAACGTGTATAGTTCATTGCATACATTTACGTACTTCTAATTTGTATACCAGCTGATAAGAGAAGATCAAAAACTGATATACGCAAATTTTAAAACATATGATAATATTAGTACAGCAATGCAAAAATCAGAAAAATCGTGTNAGTTTTTATATGTTGTAGCACCTTATTAGCATCTTAATTGTATGTATTTTTTTATCATACATTATTAAAACTTGTTTTCTATATAATAGTGTTACTGTAAATCTATGTGTATTATAGTATCACTTCTGCAGTTCATCTCGTGAGTTTTTATCTGTCTGCGATGATTACGTTTATAGTATATAAAATTGATTGCACAAACAAGAAGCTTAAATCTCATGAATGATATTGTAAGTTCCATACTTTTTTTTAAATATTTCAAAAGTTCAATTACACTTACCTTGTTTTTTTTAAAGTCATAAACTCTGGAAAAAATTTATTCCACGGAGCATAGACATCAGGAACGTGTTTGGTTAATTTATCGACATTGACGGCCATGTACACAAACATATTCTGTGGTGAAGTCATCGTTTTTCGAACATATTTGATTTCCTCTAACACTTTCTTTTCTCCTGCAGTATTTAGATAATTTCTGATCTGACTGAACGAAACATACAGCTGGTATATGTTAAATGAATACGGACGATTGTCTGCCGAAGAATTTACGCCATTATCATCGTATTATATTTAACGTATTCCATTATATTATCGTTAAATTATACTTGTAATGTATGATTAGTAAATAAAATCTTTACAGATTTACCTGTGTTATACAGCAATATTATCATTAAAGCTTGAAGATTACAATTATCTTTTGGTGTTGTTTGCTTAAGACTATTTGTTACTTGTGTTATTAATATTGTCAATTTGTCGGCTGTTAGTTCAGTGTCAAATACAAGCTGTTTATACAATTGTACACCTTTTTCATAGTTGTGTTCTTCCATCTAAACCAAAAAAACTGGTTAAAACCTACTTTAAAGTTTCAAGTTATTAAAATATACTTTTTTCTAGAAGAATGTAGTTTTTTACTATATATAATGCATTACTTGAAACAGTAGACATAAACTGTGCGGTCTAATATAACCAATTTGAGTAGTAAAGTCTCCAAAATCAGTTCTTTTATTCATAGATTCTTTGATGACTTCCAGCAATAACGGAATATACTTTCTATATTCGTTACTAATAGAGGAAGTGTCTAGTAAAACATATAACTGAATTACAAATAAATGAGTATTAAATATCATATTATACTATACTTATATTTAAACAAATATTGCATTTTTTGACTATTGAAAGAGCAAATATGAAGACAAATATATACATTTTCACAAAATAGAACTTTATACAATAATATGTGGTACGAAACCGATACTTACATAAATAAAATTTGTGTTAATGTCATTTAAATAAGTAAAAAATGGCAGCTTTGTTAAATCTAGTTTAGGATGTTGTTTAAACGTTTCCGTGGTATATCTCTTAAGTTGATAAAATGTGATAGAATCTATGCCAGGTATAGGCACACTCGTCAGTATTTCGGTAGATATAGATTTCTTAAAAAATTGTGAAAAAAAGAAATAGAAAGAAATGCTGACTTATATAAAAAATTGTATGTATAACCAAATAATAGTTTACTGACGCACGTCTAAATAAATGTATGTATTATTGTATGAATAATTGTATGTATAATCTAATATAGCTTATTGATATACATATAATCTAATCTTATAAGATTTAAATGTATACTTTAATTTCTTTAATAGATTGCTCATATTACTTTTTTTTTTGCTTTTAACTCTTTCATCTTACCTTTGCGATGTGTTCATCTATATAGTTTTTTTCTTCTTGCAACTTATTATACTCGTCTACATTTGGTTTGCCTTTTACAACAACCATTGGTACGTCNAAAAAGTAAGTCTTNAGCAATTCTAAAAAATATTCTACAGATTCGGTTTTTAATTTCTCGAGTTGACGTATAGTGTGTAATCGTTCTTCTAGCTGAAAATATCCAAAAAACATGATATTTACCGAATTAAAATATAATTAATTTTTGAAAAAAATACAATTCATTGACTAAACTGTCTCACATACATCTTTACTCTCACATTCAGCATTATCTGTATTTCCATACACCATATGATCAAAGACTGACTGTGATATTATATCGTGCTGATTGCTTTCTAGTATCCTTTGTCTTTGAAGAATACTTTGATGAATTAAATTGTTCATTGTCTTTATATTTATACCATTTTTACATAAATTGCTAATTATTATGTCAAGAGATGGTTTTATCATATTAATAATGCTTATTGGTACTTTCGTAAAACACATATGCAAGGTCGAAACTGAATATTTAAAAGAATCGTACTTAATAGAAAGAAGCCAAGTCTTTTCATTTTGCATTTCAGATATTTTTTCGATTAACAACTTTTGTATTGACACATCATTGTACGATTGCGTGATGTACATTAAGAGTAATTGACAAGCGCGATATTCGTACATTTGAGTAACCACTGACGGTCCTCGCCAAGCAACATACACCTCGCCATAGGTGTCCTCACTACATGGAAATTCGACGTCCACATTTACACTTTTTTTGAGCTGTTTAATCGAAGTTTGCCAAGGTCTCCTAAATGTTTCAGGTTTCTTCTACAAGTAAGATATAAAACTGAATATTATAATAATGTCACTGTAATATTACAATGAATATTGTAATAATGTCGATGTAAGTTTTTAAACATTTAATGCTTCAAAGGAAAAAAAGAATAAGGCGTGCAAACTGTCAATTTTTTTAACAACATGTACATACCTGCTTAATTAGTTCTTCTTCTAAAGGCAGTAAAGCTTGAAAAATTTTATCGTGTTCTATCTTACCCATTATCACTACAGTCAAATTTTCTGGTCTGTAAAATTTTTCATGAAACTGTTTGATTTTTTCAATATTAGTACTTTCACGCAAATTTTTAGTTGTACCTGCAATTACACACATAAATATTTTCGTATGTACTAAGCTAGCACTTGGAAATATGTACCCACAAAAACTATGAAAATGTTTCTTGTATCTCTTTTTACCTTCTATTACTGATTTATATCCACATTTTCCAGGATAAAGTGCTTTAAGCATCTTTCTCTTCATGATCTCGCTTGATGTTTGTTCTTTCTTCTGTTGTTTACAATACAATACACCGGTATTTTTACTTTTGTTAAAATGATGTATCTCTGTAAGATATGCTGAATCCTATCAAAACGTACAAATATATGAAAAAATTGTATTTACAAGTGTATTTTGAACACTTCTTAGAAAAGATTTTATAAATAAGAAATAATTTAGTATCTTTTACAAAATTTAGTACAAGTAATTTGTTGTATACAGTACAATACAACACGTCAGAATTTCGTACCATAACTTTTATTGTTGGTATAACATTTAGTAAGATTCATTGTTAAATTTAGGCCAAAAAAAAATATGCCACGATAAATTTATATTATGCGCGCCAAAAGTTTATGCAAATTATGTATCAATGTAACAATATTCTTTCGATAAATATTAAATGATACGTTAACTGTTGTTGTTTTTAAAGNACAAAAGAATGTGTTTTCAAAATACAGTATAACAACGATGTGATTTTGACATACTAATCATAATATAAGATTAAATGTAAAATTAGTAAGTTTGAAGAANCCGTTATAAAAGGCAAAACAAATAAAAAATATCTCTTGTAATAGTTATCAAGATAGAATAGAATATTTATTAATATTTATTAAAGTATGTCAATAATGAGAAATCGACAGTTTAACATTAAGCGGTTAGAGAAGATCTCAAATAATGATAGATTTTTCAACTTGTCTGGTGAATATCAGACATAAAAAACTTATCATTTGATATTTTTTATATTTTGCACATTCTCGTTTTAAACATATAAACAAGTGAATAAAGACTCTACCTCTAAACTAGGAAAAAATATGTGATCGAGATATTTTGGCATTAGAGAAAGAAATGCATCGCTACCAGCTGCGCTCATAGTAAAAAATGTACGATCTTTTAAACAATAACCATCGATGTTGTCTCCTAAGCATCTATTAGCCCAAAGATTTAAAATTGTCTTGGTTGGATGTTCCTTGGTGCCCGAGAAAATGAGATGTTGCAGCGCAGAAGGAACACCGTCGTCATCTAATGTTTCAGTCACTGATATAAAACATTGTTATACTTAAGAGCTACACTTAAATATTTTTAAGACGTTATATTTGATAAGAAATACTACGCATTGCTTCAAACGTATTTTGCAAA